GACGTGCAGAAAATGGAGCAGGAACTACTTGTTGCTGTGGGATATACTTAAGGAAAGGGAAAGGGAGAGGTGGTGCAGGAAGAGCCAACGAATAAGGGTCTATATATATGGGATTATCACACAACAGACAATAGCATAAGCTCAAACATGATTCAACATCGGACGATGGTACACAAGTTTGTTTGTGTAAAGAAGCAGCTGCCAGCGAAAACACTTCCGGTTGGGGAAGTAACTTCACTCATTTGCAAGCATGTCTCGAAACTCTACTCAAATACTCAAATAAGTAACGTAGTCGATTGCTATGGCAAATAAACGTTTGCTTCATCGACAATCCCACCAAAGAATATGATATGGCAAAGTGCCTGGCCTTCCTTGAAATTCACATCTGCCTTGTGACTTAAGGGCACTCGGGGCAATGTGGACGAGTGGTTGATGTGTCAAGTTGACATGCTGAACTGTCACGGTTCGACTCCCGGAGGGGGTGTTGACAAAACCGACGCGAGGTCGAAACTGCAGTCCACTGGTGCCTGGATGAGAACGACTTTTGGGAAAGCAAGGTCATGTGAAATTGAATGGAAACGTCAGCTCAACTCATATTATTGTGGGAAAATTCTCCTTCTACCAGTCCTTCATCACCTTAAACTAAATTGGATGAACACATCTCATAATTCTAAAATAATTTATAATCAGTTCTCGTTGATAATTGTTCCCAACTAGAATTCTCCTTCGTCGTCTCAATTGTTGGCCTCGATGATTAACATTCGTCAGGCGCAGGCTCAGTTCGTTTGAGAAGGCGGGTCGAAGGGATTCGTGGGTTGGCCTGACCGGATACCGCAGGAGGGTTATCTTGGACTTTTGTCCGTTGAACTGTGCACAGAAGACCTCGGCCCATCGTCATACGACCCCAATGACCGCGTGCGGAACTTTCTTCCGTTTTGTGACGGATTATTCATAAAAAGATGACCAAAAACCCTAAACCGAGAAAAGCAACCAGCTGAGATTCTACTTCTTAAACCTCATTCGAGGTTGACATATGACTAGAACTCATCAAGTAGGTCAGATATAGAGCATATGTACATTTTATTAGTAATGAGCAGGGGAGTTTTCTTGACTTATTTGCTTGATTGTTAAGCTTACTTCAATTTTGAGTGAAATTGTTTGGTGAAGAGATTCAAAGGTCGGTTCCACCAGAAGATGACGGCCGATTCTTTTTGACCAGCTGTCGATTGGCTTTACTGAAACATTCATGCTGACGCTGTTTCCGAGGCAACCTCTTTCGATTCCGATGAGAAGGTGATAAGCTTTCGTGCGTCATATGACGGAAGCATCAGAGCGTGGTAACATCGTCACAACAAAATTAAAGCAGACGCGTCAAGAAAACTCACCGGCAAATCGCTAAAAAGTGGTATACTCTACAATTGGTCTCTTTGATCAAGTATAAAGTGATTTGGTTAGTTAAGGTCATATGTCAACTGCGATGCGTGTGAGTGTGTTTGTCTCTGTATTTGTATGTGCCTGTTTGTGTTTGCTTATGCACGAAACCCGAAGTGATGGCTCAAAGTAATTGGGACAGCAAAAAAGCAACGTCTATTTTTGGCCATCAAGGTTTGATGACCCCCATCTCCCCCTTTCTACGTTTAAGTTATAACCATTACTCCGATGGGGCAAGGTGTCGGACATTCGTCTGGTTATGTTGATGAGCCTATTTGGGTTTTTGGTCTCAATGGTTTAATTAGCTTGAATTCGGTTGTAAAGACGATGCACTGTTCTGATCATGTTCGTCATACGACAGACTAAAGTTTATCACTGAGATGTATTCACCCTATTTCGTCTAAGGTGATGAAGGACTGGTAGTAGAATTTTCCCA